CAGGGTTAGTAACTCACTGCAGGAACGCCCACTCCTGTGAAACCACTCTTCGCTAGGGGCTGACTCTTATGTAACCTCAGCTCCCAAGTCTTAAGAATTAGGTTTTTTTCACTATCATTCACACTCTGCAGTTACTGGTGCTTTGCCGTAACGTTTTTGGACGTGACTTTATTAGTTAATTTCTGCAAATACCTCATATTTTTAAAAATAGTGAGGAAAGAATAACTAATGAATTCACCAACATGAAAATGTATAGTTCAAAAGCATTTTCCAAAGACTCAGTAAATCGCTGAGAACTAGGCATGCTGCATATTATTTTCTGAAAATATAGTATGGATGAGACTATGAAATTCTCTAAAATACTGATGATTTTCTTCCCTTTCAAACTGGTAAAACTGATCGTTTTACTACCTCATGCTTCAGGCTGGGAAGGTTACACTGTCACACCCAGGGAACATTTACCATAGTCCACAACTTTATAATAGTTGCTAAACTTGTAACTTTATAAAAAGTGTTTCTAAGGCATATGGACTATCATATTAACACCTGTTGTTAAGTGACTGCTTATGTCAAAAAAATGACTTCCGTCAAACATGATCAAGATATGGGATTTAGGTTACATCCATATCCTGAGTTTTGGCCAGCTGACTTTAGCTAAATGATAGTTTTAGATATTCAACCTGCATTTTTTTCATACCCGAGTAATAATACAAACTTGAAGAAACCACACTGGCATTCTCTTGTGCCCTTTAATGCAGAAGGTGGGCTTTAAATAATTAGTTCAATGACTACTATTAAAATATTATGGTAGAGAAAACTGTAGTTCTATGTCCTTATTTGTTTATTGTGACACACCCCAAAAATACAGTCACCAAGGTAATTGCAAGATCTTATCAACCCTTAGAATTTTTTGGCAACATACCAACTGGTTAAAGGTTAGTAACACAAACATGGATCTTGCAAAGTTTGTTTCAGTGTATGTAGGAATCAAAAGCTTGATTTCTACCAAGGTATCCCTTTAGAGTGTAGAAAATTTCCACAATATGAGACATAGCCAAACCCAAGTGCCTCTGTAAAAAATTCATTCTGAATATCTCTTTTAGGAGTCATGAAAGCAAAAGAGAATCTGAGAGTTATTAAAGATAATTGACTATATTTTTAAAATTTACTATTTAAATAGATGAGTGTCTTTGAACCTTATAATAGAGACTCTCTGTCCCTATTAAATGAGCCTTGATTTGTGGGTCATACTCCCACAGGTAAACATTAACTGCAGGAAGAGAACATATGTCATTAGAATTACAACCTTTCTACCACAACACCCAACTATCTAGCCTATGAGGCAGCTCAATATTTGTTCCACAAAATAATACACGCATTGGTGAATACTACTACTTTCGGTAAATTCTCAGTAGATTAGTCACCACCAATTCTGAATTCAGGAGATTCTGAAGTTCTTGAAGTACATTCTATGGTAGGGCCATACCATTGTGGATGCTACCAAGTCAGCTTAGTATTGGGAAAATAATGCTCCCAGCAATTTGCAAGGCAGAGGTGAGAGGACTGCCTAAGACCAGGAGTTCGAGACCAGCCTGGGCAACTTGGTGAGACCTCGTCTCTTCAATAAATCAAAAAATTGGCCGGGCATGGTGGCATGTGCCTGTAATTCCAGTTACTCGGAAGGCTGAGGCAGAAGGATCACCTGAGTAAAGCAGGTTGAGATGCCATGGCCGTGAGTGTGCCACTGCACACCAGCCTGGGCGATAGAGTGAGAATTTGACTCAAAGAAAGAAATCAATGTGAATAAGGACGAGAAAAACCTAGATTCCATCCCAGTCATCATGCAGCTGGAATAAATGTGAGTGACATGTGCACACACCTTCCAAGCCTTCTGTTTCCCCTTTTGAAACTGGGATGATAATTGTCATGTCCCAGATGTGACTGCATTGTCAGATGACACTGAATCACAGTCAGCTAAGAATAGAAGGGGGAGCATCAGAAATCAGAGTCAAGATGTAAAAACAGATGAGGAAGTTAAGACTCAGGAATGTTAATGATTTGCCCAAGATGAGTAGAAAGCTGAAAACCTGAATCGGAAGCTATTCACAACAATTAAATAAATTATTGCCTTTATGTAGCGATTATACATACAAAGTTTTGGCCATTGCTTTGCTAAGTACTGGTCAGGCCACGTGCTCACTGAACTATGGCCAAGCCATGTTTTCCTAGCTTTCGTTTCCTCCCCTACTTTGGGAAGGTGAATCTATCTCCTCTCTTTCACTCACTCTTCAATTTACTTTCTAAATAAACTATATTGTCAATCTAAAAAAATACATAAAAATTTTTTTTAGAAAAGAAATAGTAGCCGGGTGCGACAGTTCACATTAGTAATCCCAGCACTTTGGGAGGTGGAGGAGAGAAGGTTGCCTGAGCCCAGGGGTTCGAGACCAGCCTGAGCAACTGGGCAATACCTTGTCTCTACAAATAAATGAAAAAAATTAGCCAGGTGAGGTGGTGCATGCCTGTGGTTCTACTTATTTGGAAGGCTGATGCAGAAGCATCGACTGAGCCCAGCAGGTTGAGGCTGCGGTGGCTGTGAATGTGCCACTGCACTCCAGCCTGGGCAACAGAGACTCTGACTCAAAAACAAAGTAAGGTCGGGCTCGGTGGCTCAGCCTGTTACCCCAGCACTTTGAAAGGCTGAGGCGAGTGGATTGCATGAGCCCGCAGGTTCGAGACCAGCCTGGGAACTTGGCAAGACCTCATCTCTACAATAAATCAAAAACTAGCCAAGCGTGGTAGGTAGCACGCCTGTGGTTCCAGCTACTTGGAAGGCTGAAGCGGAAGGATCACCAGAGCCCAGCAGGTTGAGGCTGCAGTTGTGGGGAAAGGCCACTGCACTCCAGTCTGGGTGACAGAGTGAGACTCCAACTCAAAAAAAAAAAAAAGGATTTTCCTTTTGCTCTGAATCTCACAATGAAATTTAATGTGAGGTTCAGGGCAAAAGTACTGCCATTTAAACTATAGATGTCGGCCATGTGTGGTGGCTTACGCCTATAATCCCAGCACTTTGGGAGGTCAAGGTGAGAGGATTGCCTGAGCCCACAGATTCGAGATCAGCCTGGGCAACTTGGCAAGACCTGTCTCTATGATAAATAAATAAAAAATTAGCCAGGTGTAGTGGCAGATGTCTGTAGTTCTTGGAAGGCTGAGGTGGAAAGGATTGCTTGAGTCCAGCAGGTTGAGGCCGTGGTGGCCGTGAGCAAGCCACTGCACTCCAGTCTGGGCAACAGAATGAGACTTCAACTCAATAAAATAAAATAAAGTACAGACATCTAGGTGTGATACTGAACATGATACTAATGAGTATTAATTTTATTGTGATCTCAGCTGTGCACACAAGATGCTGTAATCCAGGAGAGTTGGGCTATGTGTCAGCGGTAACAAAACTATAGATGCCTCCTAACTTACAGAAACTGAAGTTTATACCTTGGGGTCATTTTCCAATCCATTTATAACTTTAGTATGTTTAATCTCTGTGCTCATGTCAAATTAACAACTGCATAAACAGAACTTTGACTCTGTCGCTCTATTTCCAGAATCCTTTGTGTCCCTCCCTTACACATGTGGAATAACTCTTCTGGCTTCTGTCTACTGTCTTATCCCAAAATACCACCCAAGTAGATGAGGTAAAACAAACTGCTTAAGTGGGAATCATATACACAAGGGATCTAATCCTGGCTTCACCATTACTAGCTATGAAGCCTTGAGCAAGTTCCACAGACAGTCTAAGTCACATACTAACTGAAGCAACACAGGTCGGGTCATGTCTCTGTATAACGTTTGGCCCATAAATGTTAGGAATGATAATTAGTGTTGTCATACATGGTGTGAGGAAAATGATGATCATTAAGGGCAGGAAGAGGAAATTGTGATATGTTCTGTCTTTTCCACCTTCTTTGCTTTTGCACATTCTTCTTGCTTTCTTTTGTTTTAGTGGCAGGGACTGTTCTTTATTTTTACTACGATAACCATTAAAAAAAGCTTTAAACATGTAATTTAAATCTTCCCTACTAGGGTTGAACACAGCGCCTTGCAATGACCCTTCTTCATCATCATAATAATGATTAATAAGTATATCTAGGCCAGGTGTGGTGGCTCATGCCTGAAATCCCAGCACTTTGGGAGACCAAGGCAAAAGGATTGCCTGATTGTCTGGGCAACTTGGTGAGAACTCATCTCTACAATAAATCAGAAAGTTAGCTGGCCATAGAGAAGTGCATCTGTGGTTCTAGCTACTTGGAAGGCTGAAGTGGAAAGGTCGCCTGAGACCAGCAGGTTGAGGTTGCGGTAGCCACGAGTGTGTGTGACTGTACTCCAGACTGGGCGACAGAGTGAAACTCCGATGCAAAAAAAAAAAAGTATATCTGACATTAGAGGGGCCTCTTTTCCTGGAAGAAAGCACAAGTCAGATATATCATCTCCCAAGCCGTTAAGATGATACTGGACATCTGTATTTGTGCCTTATCTCCTAATAACTCTAAGATAATTGAAGAGAGTGACATAATATGGTGTATGTGCTTGCATGTTAAGATATTTCTTCAAAATTCTCCTGGTGACTGTTTAGACTTATTCTATGTCCATTTTAAATTCTACAATCTTTGCTGAATCAATTTCCCCCTCAAGCTATGTTTTCCCACAAACAACTAAGGGCAAAAATAATGAGAGGAAGCTCTGTTTGGAGAGAAGGGAAAATATTAAAAATTATGCAATTCCTGTTCTGTGGTAGGAAGAACTAAATCACTATTCTAAACCTATCAAAGAATATAAAAGCTTTTGAAGTCCCCCTTTCTGTGGCATTTAAATACTGGTCAATTTCTCATCTCACATAAATATAACCTCTGTAGAAAAAGTGATTCTCTTCAATGACACGTACATCTGATTGGATCTGAAAGTGATTCACCTTCCCACAGACGTCTACATGTGTATATGAAACTTACAGTGCCAAGGTCAACGATGAAGCAGTCACCCTTGTTGAAACTGTCCCAGCTGAGAGGAACTTCCGTGGCCCTGACCACTCTCCGACCCTTCACACGTAGGAGCCTCTTGGCTGTCAGGTCATTCGTGAGAACATGATTGAGCCCGGATGCCACACCTCCAGCCTGATGGAGGAGAAAGATACAAGATACAGAGAAAACTGGTGAGGTTTCTGAGTAGACAAGGCAAAGCAGAGAACACAGTGCCTGTGGCAAAACCCTGCCTGTTAGGCCAGGAGGAAATAGCCACCTATTGCATGTGAAAAGTCAGACATGGAAAGGAAGCTGTTTTGGTAAATCAACAGGTTGGTTTGTTTGCTTGGTCTCTTTATCCTTCCGTTTTAATAATTCAATTTAAAATTACAAGTCATTTCTGGGAACTCTCAGGGTATAAAACGCTGCTACATAAACAAAAAGAATAAACCATAACTTTTGCCCTTTAGACAGTAAGGGGTCCCAACTCATTCATGAGTGAGAAGTCAAAGATTTCAGAGAAGGTGACAGGAGGCTGGCAGAGAGTCAAAGGTGACAAGTACAGGTGACAGTAGCCTGAGAAAAAGGCACCCAAAAGTTTCCCTGTCACAGGGAGAGGATGGAGAAGGAACTTGAGTGCTGGTCAGAAATTAATTGGCTTACGTTTACAAGTAAAACAATCCATGCCGGGTGCAGTGGCTCACGCCATCCCAGCACTTTGGGAGGCCAAGGTCAGAGGATTACTTGAACCCACAAGTTTGAGGCTAGCCCGGGCAACTTGATGAGACCTCATCTCAAAAATAAATTAAAAAAATTAGCTGGGTGTGATAGCATGCACCTGTGATGCCAGCTACTTGGAAGGCTGAAGTGGAAGGATCACCTGAGCCCAGAAGGTTGAAGCTGCGGTGGCCATGAGCATGCCTCTGCACTCCAGCCTGGGTGACAGAGTGAGACTTCGACTCAAAATAAATAAATAAATAAAACAATCCAATGTCTCTATTTTTTGGTAAACAGTTTACTAAACATGCAAGGCCTGAGTCTTTTGTTCCTAAAGTTTGGCAAAATGCAGTATATCTTCATTACACATCCACAACCACAGCACAATAAAACAAAACAAAATAGAATGCAACCATGCTAAGTTATAGAAATGCCAAGGAAAAATTATTAGCCACATCAACTAAATTTTCTTGTATTATTTGCGATCATCTTTTACTTTTTCATTTTTTTCCTAATTAAAGGTCAGGAACCATAGCTTTATTTCCACAATTAATTAAAAGGTAATATGCATACCTGAGTTACAGTATAACTAAAACTCTGTTATTAATAGATCAAAGTCCTCTATAATAATGGTAAGAAAAAATAGCATTATTTTTTTTTTTTTTTTGAGTTGGAGTCTCACTCTGACGCCCAGACTAGAGTGCAGTGGCCGCTCCCAGCCACTGCAGCCTCGACCTGCTGGGCTCCGGTGATCCTTCCGCCTCAGCCTTCCAAGTAGCTGGAATTACAGGCGTGCGCTACCATGCCCGGCTAATTTTTGATTAATTGTAGAGATGA